GACTACCAGGCTATCTACCTAGCTGTTTGTAGAGATTGGGCTGGTAGGTGCACGGTCATTAGCAGACTGCTCCTTTGCTGTGGAAATCTAGCTTTAGTAGCGTAATTTAACCCAACTCATGTCTTCTGCACATTTAGACCTAGAACATTCCCAGGTTTTTTCAGTTTGTTATTTTTGAGAGAGACAATGCAAGAGAGAAATTTAAACTGTTGCCTTGCTTGACCAGTTTCTAAACTGTAAAGAAAACAAGCATCTGACTTTCAGAATAATAATTTTTTTAAGAGTAGGAAAGTAAAGAAAACCCAACAAACCAAAAACCCGCAGTCTTTTCAGTGCAAGATAATCCTATGTTCTCTATAGAAACACATATAAACTTCTGACCTCTAATCTTTTTTTTTTCCCCTCCACCACTCACTCACTGTTTGCCAAATTGTTTCCAAATATGATCAGAACTTCTAAAGGCTTCACAGTAGTCTTATTGCAAGAATATTCACACTTGGATCTAAAAGAGTCAAAGCTTAAAATAAATGTTAAAGGTTGATCCACTGGAAATCAGTAAAACCCTTACATGCGTTTGCACTTAGGTGTTGAAGGCATTAGTGTGTGTCTTATTGATGGGTATATCTTTCATCGTGCTGATCACAAAAGAAGGTATACAACATGGCAAGATGTCATTGCGCGAATAAGCACTTGAAAACAGCTTAACGGGGATATGAGGTCTGTAAACAGGAAAGGGGTTGTCTAATGGAGCACCCTGCAGCTGACCTGGTCTCATGAAGAGGCCGGGATCCGACCCGCGGGGCTGCAGCAAGTGGTTTGCAAGACCCTGAGACTTTGGACCTCCTCCTCGTGCCCCCTCTTTCACTGGGAGCAGAAGCACAGCGGCTCTGCTGGGGAAAGCAAGCTATGGTGCTTTTGGGTCATGGCGAGAAGGTGAGAGTTTCTAATGCCCTGCTACTTTACTTCTAAAGCTGAAAGACTCTCTGAGTAACATTGCCCACTTTTGTGGGGAGAAAGGGCAGAGAAGGTTAGAGGTGAGGCTGCTCAGATGGGATGGGGCACAGGTTAGTGCTGCAGACGCTGTATTTCCTGAGTGAGGGTACTGGAACTGGCTGTTTCACTAGTGCTTGAGTGTCTTACACGCTTGGTGTTACAGTCATACTGTAATGTCATCATGCTGCCCAGCTAGGGTTGGTTTGTGTGTGTGTAAAGGGTAAAGAGAAAATTATTTAGAAATGTGTTAGTGTTAGGGAGCTTCCCAGATTCAGGTCTGAGCTGCTGCTGTTACAAGGGTGGAAACTAACTAAATCTGCTAAAAATTCTGCTATCTTCACTACAAGTCCAGTGAGACCACTTAATCTTGAGAGCCTGCCATCACCCTGTGATTATATCTTACATACTTGGCTGCTCCCACATGGAAGAAATGCCTCCTCTTAGATTTGGGTTCGGTTCAGATGCCAGTTCTCACGAGGGCTAAATTTACATTCGGGTCTGAACATGCATGCAGTGGGACAGAAACCCCACCCATCCTTCATGCTTTTGCTGTGCATGGGGTGACGAGGACAGGGCTCTTTTTCCGCTTCCTCCTGCTTTTAGTTCCCTGGCTGCTCACTCCTTTAAGTGGATCACAGGCATTTGGTGTGTCCTTGGTTTTCACTGTGGGGCTTGCAGTCAGGTCACATCCAGAATGACTGGACAGCTCGGCCAAGCTCTTTAAAGGCTGATGACAAAGCAGCCACAGAAATCAGCTGTAATAATGCTGTCGTGTTGTTCATGCAGTTTTCCAACATGTAAGCACTACCAATTATTTCTGCCGGTGTTGTCCCTCAAGCAGCGACAGAGAGCACTGATTCAAAAGCAGGCTACAAACCACATTTAGTAAGGGCTTTGAGATCCCCTCACAGCCAGAAAGTAGAAAGGAGAAAGGAATAGCAATAAGGAAAAAAAAAATGCTAGTAAAAAAATAAAGCAAGCCGTTTCTGCCTTGGAATATTTTATAGTTGATTGTAACGAAGACAAAGTGATACCGGTGAGAAGATCATTTGCACCTCCTGGTGGCAAAAAAAAAAAAATAATAAAAAAAAATCTTAAAGTATCCAGATCAGACATTCATACATTTACTGTGCTATAAGAAGCCTGGTCGGAATAACCTGTAATAAGATAGCAGCAAGTTCCTGAAATCTATGTCTTGGAGGAAAGAAAAATAGATGCAACAAAAGCAACATAGAGCTCTGCGTATCACTTCTGAATCAAAAACAGAGCCATAAGAAGTGGGACATTCTTTTTAAAAGTCGGCTTTCCAATTAAACCATCCGAATAATCATATTTTCGATGCATATATTGCAAAGGAGCACACTGATCCAAAGCAAAAGCAGGAAAGTGCCTGTATAAATGTGCAAGACAGTGGTCGGCGTATATCGTCCACCATTTCGCCCATGCTGAGGCAATATACCTGCAATACAGGGCAGCAGGAAAACGCTGGTTGCACTAGAAAAGACTCCTGCCCACCAGGCTTGACATCCAGACTCCAGGGATGGTGTTTTGCTCTCTGGGTAGCTGCAGGATTCCTGTGTGTCTCTGGCTCCTGTGACTCCGTTTGTCATTTGTCATATTTTCCCAGACCCTATTTGAAGCTGGAAGATGCCATTGTAGAAAGTATCAAATAAGGTAATAAGTACCTGTGGAGGATGAATAGCTTTAGGGACTCACAGGAGTGTTTGTTCCTAGCCCACTTGTGTGGGTGGTCCGAATACTCACAGTAAAAGACTTCTCTAATTTTGAAATAATCAATCAGATAAAAATGAAGTACAGGACTCTTCAGATTTTTCAGATTTTGCAACAGCTGGACTTTTGAAACTCCCCCTGATGATGGTTCTACTGAAAAAAAAATGGTGTTTGGTTTGTTTTGGGTTTTTATTTTAAATCTCCTGCCAAATTGTTTTGATCTTAAACTTTTATGGGTCTCCAAGAAGCCAGAAGGGACCAGCAACTGTAATTTGGAAGTGTGACTTGGAAAACGTTCAATGTTCAATCCTAATTGTATAAAGCTAGGGCAGGGTGGAAAGGAGTAGACATTAGTTTTTCAATCGAATTATAACTCATCAGTCAACTCAGCAGTGACCTGTGTAGATTTCTCTCTGGATTTCACAGCTTGGGCTCACAATTGACCTGATCAGCACTGAAATGTTATCTGAATTATGCTAGTCATGGGGTACGACTCTTGGGATGTTGTAGCTATGCTTGTAAACACGGTTACATTGTTCAGAAAAAAGGTTTTCTTATTGTAAGTTTATTTTGGGTGCTGGTCTAAGCTCCATCTCATGTACAGTATTGCTTTATAGGTATATCTGTCAAGTAGAGACAAGGTCTTAAAAGTCACTAACAATGAAACAGGGTGAGGTGGTTGACTCATGCGGGCAAAATCTTGCATCTTATCTAATCCTGCCTGGAGAGTGTTGCTAAGGACTCCAGCAGTGCCACACACATAATGCTGGGCAGGGGCCGGGGAGTGTCTCTAAGTGCTCCGTAAAAGCCTGCTTAACTTCTGAGTGTTGGAGGGACAACCGAGCTGAAATTGTCATTTAGTGCAAGGTCACTTGGAATTTACTGAGAAGTAGTAGGTGAACAAACGCAGCGGCTCGGAACTGACTGCTGGAGCATGCGGTTTGTTTTAAGCTTGATAACCAGCTTTGGTTTGTGGAAGTTAAGTACAGCTCCTGCAGCTGGACACTCAGATGCTCAGAGGATATTCTCATAGGGAGGGAACATGCACACGTTTTTAAAAAAAAACCAAACGGTTCATGAATCTCCACTCCGTTGCTGAAGTCTGTCACAACAGCTAGGATGGCGACATCACTCACTAGAATGAGAAAACTTTGACATGTCTGTGTAGCTGTATACACGAGGAATAGATAGGGTTGTGTTCAGATAACCCAAACTGCTCAGTATCTCACAGCGCCCATTGCCGTTGGAACGGGTTAGCCAGTTTTGAGTTGGTCAGGACAGCGATACCAACACACAGCCTGCCTGCCCCAGGTTCGTGGCCGTACGGAGGGCTGCGCTCTCTACCCCCCGCTGTCCGCTCTAAATACGGGATTTGCTTGGACTGTTCCAGCCGCTGCAAACACAATTACTGCGAATGGCAGTCTTAAACACAGCATGTGCTGAAAACGTTTCTCTTTGCAGAATATTTAGCAGGAGAATTTCATTGCAAGTTTTGGTTTTTTTTCAGGTAAAAATCAGTTGCTGTGTTTACAGCTGATACCCAAATTTTCCAATTAAGAGCAATAACTTCTCTTATAATTAATGTGTTTAACACCATGCTAATTTCTCAAATAGTTGACGTGATCTTCTCTGAAACCTTACAAGCCAATCATGCTTATAACAAACAACGGAGATTGGCTGGTGTTTTATATAGTCTATTTAAGGTCATTGTTATGCTCTAATAGTTTGTTTTGTTTTTTAAAACAAATGACACAAGCTGGAAGGAAACATAGGGGCTCATTTCTATAATTGCTGACTGTTCCTTTCAACAGCATCACACTGGCACATAAGCCAGCTCTAGGAGTAAAATGTGCTTTAAATAATCAGTCAATTGGAAATTGCTAATTGATATCTGAAGTAACAGAATCTATCAAAGAAAAATTGCCTTTTGAGGTGGACAGCTGGGGTAAGTGGGACATAAAAAGGAGGGAGGGAACTGGGAAAGGTTTTCTTCTGGGAGTTGAATGAGTCAACAAAATCATACTCTTGTGAAAATGATGGAGTGCGATGCTGAATAACAAAATGCACTAGGAAGAATGTAGCCTGCTTGATACATACAGCAATCTTTCTGCTATTCTCAGCATTGGAAAAACCTCGGCTGAACTTCTCTGGTGTTGCAGTTCAAGAGGATGTGGATCAGTTGGAATGAGCCCAAAGAAGAGCATTGAGCCTAATTAGAGGTCTCGGACATGATCAAGGAGCTAAGAGCTAATCAAGTTATGTGGTTCAGCTTTCAGAATAGAAGACTGTGCAATGCAGGGATAATCCTCAAGTATGCAGGAGGTAAAATCAAGCTGTAAAAAGGACAGAAATAGTCTTTCCTAAAAGCCCATGTTTTATTTGATCAGAAGGTTTGATCTTATACTACAGGAGGCAAGATGTAGGTCAAACAATAGGGAAAAGCTCTCTAACTGTGAGGACAATGAAATAGTGGAGTTTATGTCTTCAGAGGTCTTTAAAAACACATTAGACACACATCTGTCAAATGACATAGGTATAGATGATCCTGCCTGGGGCAGGGGGATAAGTCAGATGACTTCATGAGGTATTTCTTTCCCTGTTTTTCCATGATTCCACATTGAGGCTTTGCTCATTATGCATGTTTGGATTTGATCCATTAGCCTAGTCTGAATGTCACATTCCAGGATAGGATTTTAAAAAGAACTTTGAAAAAATTTAGTGTGATTTGGGTGCCTACCTCCCTTTTTATCCTTCTGAAAATCCTAGCCTGTAAAAGTATTCTTCATCTAGACAAAGCCAGATAATTTTCTGCATGTTGATATTTAAATGTTCTGGCTAAATCTGTGTTTCCCTGAAATGTTTCTGCTTGCTCCAACATGCCCTTGTATGTTAAATTGCTATTTTTCTGGATGAATCATGCTGAGAACATTCAACATATCAAGCTGGGTATAAAAATGTGCAGTCAGAATGTGAACTAATCAACAGCAGCTTTTGTATTTCTTCTTTACATGCAAACCGGACCATTTCCAGATCTCTTCACTGGCTCTGGGTAACCCAAATATCTGACTGAACAATAAACTGACCCAACCAGCAGACAGCCCCATGGGAAGCAGAGGTTTGGCAAAGACTGACTGATCTAGCATAAAAACAGAACAGAACATATTTTAAATGAATAAACAACATTATGAAAGTCTACTGACTCTTTCGTATAAGCTGTGCATACCATCTGCCCTTTTTACTTCATCCATGCCCTCTATTATCTACATCTTTGCACCTCCCTGTTGGCTCCTACAACTGTTATTTTCTGGTGCCCTTTTATGTCCCATCATTACTTGTCTCATCCCTTGTTGCTCCCCCGATTTCTCCAAAGACTCTTTTCCATCACCCTTCTTGTTTTATGTCAAGAATGAAGAGCAAGTTATATTGGGGCTAAGTAGTCAAGAAACTACACCAGAATGTGAGCCAAAAAACTCCACAACTGAAATGTGCCTGTCCTCTGCATAACAACCAAGGAGTAGGGCATTAATCCAGGAGCCTGGTGTGTTACTTCTTAGACTAAGGGACTTAAATTCACATTACTCAAAAGTGTATTTTCTACACGAAAAAAAAAAAAAAAAAAAAGAGGACCTCAACCCTTCTCAAAATGGGTCACACTTTAGAGAGGACGTGCCTAGAGCCACAGAAGAAACAGGTACAAGCATGAGTCTGTTGGCCTGTGAGAAAAGGATGTTAAGGGAGGAGAGTGCTTGCTTGCAGCTCGGCCATTGAAGTACTTGCCAGGGAGCAGCAGGGTTGAACCACAGAGGACCCATAACTTTGCGTTTTCCACAACCTGAAGGAATATGAGAACCATCGGCCCATCATATGAACCACATTTTAAAAACAAAACAAAGCAAAAATTAATGGGTCAACTCCATGGGCATTTCAGTGCAGAAAGCCACTCTGAGCTTGTGATGATCTGGGTCTCACACCTAGATGACTTATGGCTTTCAGGCTGGGAAAGATTATTTCAGAGACGTTTCCCTCTTCTGCGTTTCCTGCTTGCTAGTTTAGCGCCCTCCACGTGCCTTTCTTGCCCTGTTTCAAGAGAATTTAATTGCAGGTATCTCTCTGCATTTACTGCATAAAGGAAATTTGGGGAATGCCTTAAGACCGTGTAGCCCTGGGGGTAGGTGTACTTTGCTAAGATCCGTCCTTCAGAAGATCCTTTGCAAACTGGTGCCCAAACTGTGACTTTCAGTGCTCTGTGCTGGTTTGCCTGCTTTTATCCAGTGCTTTGCAGACCTCCCTGTGCTATAAATGCTTCCCTTTCCTCTTTTATCATGCCTTACTCCTTGCTTGCAACAGCTTCCTGCTTCCTTATCAGTTATTATTCTTTTTCCTGTTCGTTGCTTATATATTCCCCTGTGGGGGGTTCTGGCAAAAGACGTTTTGAAGCTCAGAAACGGGCTTATCGGTGCCCATGTGGTGGTCAGGCACCTTGCCCCTCCCTTAGCCTTCACATCCAGAGAGCATGGGGCAGTGCCTCTCTTGCTCTTTCAGGGTTTGGGACGAGTCATTCCTCCATCCCTTGCCCACCGCTTCCTCCAGACCGGCCAGCCTCACACATGCTTGCTTTTGGCCCACTTGTTTTTTCCTTAAGCCTCTGCACTCTCGGGGCTCTATGTCAGCGTTGTTGGTATCTGTGACTAAGCGTCAGGCCCCGTTTGATCACGATGAGGCAAGCAGATATAACTAGCTGCCTAACCACAGCTGGTCTGCCCAAACACAAGGGCTGAGCTGGGAGCCTGGCCGGCTGCCCGTCGGTGACTGACCCGAACCCCACCAGCTGCTCGGGGCTGTTGGGTGGTGCTTTGAATCCTGACCGTGGAGGACTGCCCGGGTCCTGCTTCCTGACGGTTCTTGCTCCAGCTTGTCCTATGCACATAGCACAGGACCCCTGGCTTCAGACAGCACTCCTGTCTTCCACCAGCCTCCTGTCCTTCCTCCAGCCCTGGCCTGCCCTAACCTTAACATAGGTTCTGGTCACAGATGACACCCAACTACCTACAGTATGGTTAAGCTCTCTTGATGTTCAGCACGATGACATCATTTTAAAGAGTGAATGTCCCTGGCACTGTGACATGCCAGAAAACATTCTGGTGTGTGCTCCTCCTCTGCCAGCAACGCAGAAACAAAGCCCCTTGGGAGCTGTGATTGTCTTCATCTTTGCAGCACTCGGTATCGACATCAGAGGCATGACCTATGCTAAAGCTGGTATGAAAAATATTTGTCTGTCTTTTCAAATTAAGTGCCTTTGGCCTGTTTTCCATTGCAGCAGCAGTGGGTGGCACTGGCACAGACTTGGGAGTGGAGCCTTTGCCGTCACCCCAAAAGCAGCCACCACGCTGCCAGTGCTCCCACCCATGTGGTCTCCAGAACCCAGCTGAGGGACCACCAGGCTCTGCAAGGTTGTCAGCACTTGCCAGAACAGTCTCTTGGTAGCTGGTGTCTAGATGAGGGCACCTGTGACTGTGGCACATCCACAAGGTGACATCTCCAAGTCTTGAAGCCAAGGTCACTGTTTGGTCCCTGGGTAGTACTGGACTGCTACACTTAAAGACAGATCCTGGAGACACCAGTCTCACCCCTTAGCCTCAGTTCTCATGAATGAAAAGTCTGTTTAGCCTGCTACTAAATATTTCATTATCTTGTTAGCATAATTTTTCCTCTTTAAATTACTCTCATTTTAAAAATTTAAGTTCATTGATACATGCATTTTCGGAATGACATGTCCTAATGTTTCAGGACAAAATGTTGTGACTTCCGTGGTGAAATTATTTCTCAAAAATGGTGTGTTCATGAAGGATTTTCCTCCCTCAAAACTTGTTGTTAAACATCTTTCTGAACACTTCTCCCTCTATACTGCTGGGCACACAAGCTAGACAAGGTCAGGCGTTAAGTCTGGGTGGATTCTGGTGTCTTCACTTCTGCGGATGTTTGCCTAAATCAGGCTGCAAGCAATTCAAGAAAAGCAGCTGTCTTTGTGAAGCACAGTGTGTCTTCATCTGTTCCTTGACCCACAGCCTTTCAGAATATAGCTCCTTTCTCATATTTCTTTGGGTGTCTTCCAGCCCTACTGTATTTTCCATTTCATCTCCTTCAGCAGTGTGACTAAGCACCTCTTGAGGGTTAGTCTATGACATGGCCAGTTCATTTGAGTTGATGATTTCTGGGAGTTATACAGCTGGACTCGTCTTTTTAAGTTTCCCTTTACCCCATAATTTTTTTTTTTCCCTTGGAATGGCTCAAGGAAATGCACACAAACTAAAATCTGCATGTGGTTTTACTTGGAAGACTTTAACGAGAGATGTTGAGCTATGTGTTTCTAGTCTGTTTCTACAAAAAGAAAATTATTCTGAATTCTGTACAGAACCTCCCTTACATATGCAAAAGTGAAGATATTGGGCAATTGCTGTTTCAGCTAGACGGGAGTATGTTCTGAGCAGTTCCGAAGCATCACATTTATGAACTTTCCTCTTTCTGCCATCCAGATTCTCTTTTAATGAAGGAATGACCTTGGTGGTCATCCTTTCCTAAGGGGCATTTTCTCCCAGAAGCTACCCCTGTGTTCTGTTCCAGGCTTCCAAGGCACATTAAAAACATCTATTGCTGCGTAGACTGATGCAGCTGTTAGGATTTTTGCCACGATTAAAGTTGTTAAGATTGACATACTGGATTTAAGGGAAAGTGTCTGGGTTAAAGTTCAGGCCAGACTACTAGTAAAAAGGGAAAAAAAAAAACCAACAAAGCAGCAGAGTGAAGGCAGGTTGACTGCTGGAGGTTTAGTCCTCTGCTGCCTCAACTTGGGCTGGACAGTTCAGGCAAGTCTAACTTTGATCTTGGACTCTCATGGTTGCTAAGCTTTACTCACATACTGATGTCAATAGGATTATGTGTCAGGTTAAATTAGATTAGTAAGTGTTTGCTAAATTGTAGCTTTGGACTATACACACTGCTGGAGAGCACATGAACAATATTGTTGTGGGCAGCTGAAGTCACAACTCTGAGTCACAGCGCTCGATGCAATAGAGGGAGCATCTGTTGATAGAAGGTGCTCTAATGTGGAGTAAGATAAACACAGAAGTCTAGTTTCTCATCTCTTCAGCGTATCCAGGCCCATTTGCTTCTAATTAAACCGATTTTTCTTCACACAGCTGCAATGTCCAGTCACAGTTCCCCGGGTGCTAACGCCCCTCGTGTGTGCTGGCGTCTCCCTGACAAAGCTCAGGGCAGCGGCGTGGCCGTTTGGTAACTCTCAGCTCTGTGGCCGGGGAAATCCTTTCATCAGGAACTACTTTCCTTATCTG